CCTTTGGTTACCGTTATTTCATACTAGTTTGGCAATCCATGACATATCGAACTTATGCATTGCCACAGGTTTGCCTAAATGGGCCCAAGCTTGGTGAATCGAACTTTGGTAAGCCTCTGTGGTTGCCGTTATTTCATAACAGTTTGGTAATCCATGACATACCGAACTTAGGCATTTTCACAGTTTTGCCTAAAGAAGCTCGATCATGGTATGCCAAGTTTCGGTAAGCCTTTGGTTACTGTTATTTCATAATAGTTAGGCAATCCATGATACATCGAACTTAGGCATTTCCACAGGTTTACCTAAGTAAGCCCAGGCTTGGTGAACCAAACTTCGGTAAGCCGTTGGTTACTGTTATTTCGTACTAATTAGGCAATCTATGACATGTCGAACTTAGGTATTGCCACAGGTTTGCCTAAGTGAGCCCGAGCTTGATGAACCAAACTTCGGTAAACCTTTGGTTACCGTTATTTCGTACTAATTAGGCAATCCATGATATGCCGAACTTAGGCAGTGCCAAACTATTACGAGATTACATCGAATGTGGAATTCTTTTGGCATACCAATGTTCGGCTTGCCTAATTTAAAACAAATAAGATCCGAATTGGGCTAGCCTAAGTTCGGAAAGCCAACTTCGCCCCGAACTGATTTTTTGGCATGCCTCACTAAAATTCTAGTCGGGTATGTTAACCCTTTAATGTTCTGGGAGCGTAAAGAATCTCGGTGTGAGCTGTTAGGGGAGAGAGCCAATCATAGTCCGTTATGCGGTTGTGTGGTAATTTTACTGGTAAAATTTTACATACTGAATCTGTATAATTACTGGTAATAAATTTAGACATTTTTTATTATCAGATGATCATCTTAAACGAGTTCGAAAATGAATAAAATCGGACTTTTTTTCTAGAAATAGTGGCCATTTAAAATTTTTAAAATGCAAAAAATCATCATTTCAATTACTACATTTGTTAATAACTTTTGACTGAGAAGAGATATTTTATTTTCAAAAACACCGTTTGATTTGACTTATGATATTCTGACTTTTTGAAAATCTTTACCTTAAATCTATTCCATGAAGTCTCCCTTTCATCTTAGGTGTGGCCGAATGGCGTTTTCTTAAACGGCATTCGACATCATTTTTCGAGCTTTAAATCTGATTAGATTATGTTATTGATCGATAAAGCAACTCGAAAGTTATGTTGAAACAACATGATTGATAAAACTTTTATTTTGGAATAGAAATTTTAAGAATTAAATCAATCGCATTGAATCGGTTCAAACCTACAAGGAAGTTTAAGTTTTGCTGAACTCTATCGAATGACGTCCATCTTGTGCAAATCGGTTGAGCGGTCCAAAAGTTATAGAAGGTTTATACACACCCATACATGCAATTTTTAAAATCTAGCTTCCTTAGCGGAAAGCTAATAATTAAGACTGATCATTATTTGTACAATTTTATTTTTCTCTCAAATGTATATATTCTCCATAAATTATGATCTTCAAATTAACAATTCTTTCACGGAAAATATACTTATGATTATACACATTTTTTTTTTCAAATTACGGAACGCATGGGATGACACAGGGTTTGGAAAAGAAGATAAACAAAATAAGTCGCAATATGACCTGCAAAATGTCAAATTAAATTTAAACCAACAAGCGGAGACATTCATTGATAATTCATCTGCACAGATTGTATCAAATGTACGACAATCTTATCCAGACTTCTCAGATCTTAATGCAAATCAATTTGAACAAACTGAAATTCCGAACTTACTAGCAGAATCCGATCAGGCAAGACCAGATGATGATCAGATGCTCATATCTGGCTGCTTAGCCGCTCGAGGACAGTTTCCAAGTCCAAATAATTGTGCCAATTATCTTAACTGTTGGGATAATACAGTAATTGAACAGCAATGTCCAAACGATTTGCTTTTTAATGAAATGACTGGCTTATGTGACTTTGAACAAAACGTCAATTGCGGCGAACGGCCTGGACCCACTCCAAGTAAGTATTTTGATTTGTTAATGCTGAAGTAAATAATGTAATTCGTAAAAAATGCTTTTTATTTAAATTTTATTTATTCAGTTTTTTTGAGGCTGGTAACTGAAAAAAAAAAAAATCTGGAAAACGGTTGACCCTAAAGGCCATCCCTGCAACTTCCCGCTAATACCATACCTAAACGCTTGAGATTGTACTTATGACGTTTCTGAGCTCTTCGAGCTCAAAAATACAATTTGTGTGTTATTTCGAGCTCTCCGAGCTCAAAGAAATAGCTTTTGTATGCTTTTGAGCTCTTTGAGCTCACAAGGCTGATAGAAGTTTAATAAAACAGTATTTTTTGAATTTTTAAACTGCAATAATTTCTAAATAAATGAATCGATTTTCACGTGGTTGGCAGTATTCCGGGCACTTTGTCAGAATCTATGATATACTTTTGAACACAAACTTATCGAACCGAAAATCTTAGAGAAATTTGAAAAATTCACTTTTTCCGAATTTTTTCGACAACGACAACTCACGAACCAATCAACCAATTTTCACGTTCTTGGTAACGATCAACGTGATTTTTTGGGCTCTTATAATTATTCTATTTCGTCAAAAATGATCCAAAAAGAAATTTAGACGTTATGTGAAAAAAACACTTTTTTTCGAAATTTTTCGTTTTCGATATCTCACGAACGAATCAACCGATTTTGACCGGTCCACCGGTGATCGACGTGGTTTTTCAAGGTTGAAAGCTGATTAGTTTTTGGGATCGATCGGTAAAGCCGTTTAAAAGTTATTCCAAAAAAACCATTTTTCGAAAATTTTGTTTTTGAGATTCCTAAAAATCTAGAGAACCGAGTCGATTCAAATTTTCACGAAATTTAATGGCAATGATACTCTATGGATCGCTACCGATTTCGATCCGATCGGCCAAGCCGTTCAAAAGTTATAAGAGGTTTACACACACACACACACACACACACACACACACACACACACACACACACACACACGGAGGTTAGCGTTGATCGCGTCCGTAGGTTCTGCTTTTACACCCTACACGTGCTCTCCGGGTAGTGCTAAATGAACAACACCAAACAACGATATGGAAATGTCAGAAGATATGCAAACATCGTTTACAGTACAGAGGAGGGACAACACACACACACACACCGACACTATTTTATATTACCAAACCTATCACACTAATTTTTCCAATATTATAAACCAATTTTCCAATATTATCCTTTAATTTATTTTTTAAAACCTTAATTTATTGCCGTGGTCTTAACTATACAACAACACGGAAGAAAATTTACTATTGCTGCAACAGGAGGCAGCCATGTTGCAGCAACACGAAAAATCCTGTTACAGCAACAGGATTCCTACTGTTGTTGCGGCTTAATAGTAAAATATAGTTAGGTCATTCCATGTCAAATCGACCAATAGCTGGAATCGACCCCTTTCGATTGGGATAAATTTTGGTCAGAAGTTTTTTTTCATCATATAACGAACTTCTGCCAAAGGAAAATAAATAAAAAATTTTTTCCACAAGATATACAAATTGAAAATTTCGCGATTTTTCTAGTTTTTCAATTTTGTTTTCTTAATATCTCGAACGCTATTATAGATACAGGAATGGCCTTTCGTTTGCTTGAAAGGGGACACTTGAGGCTATTGAAAAAAAAATATTTTGGAAAAAGATTTTGAAAAATCTTTGAAAATCGTCAAAAATGAAAATTGACATTAAAATTTTTGCTCAATTTTTTTGTATAATACCTTGTACTGATCTTAAACGATCCTGAGATTTTTAGAACTGTTTTTTTTTCTTCAAAAATATGAATTTTTGAATTTCAAGAAAAAATTTTTTTTTCGTTTTTGCAACTTCTAAATAAGGTAAAGTTATGCAGAATCATAGTGTCACGTTCCCGTAAATTTAAAAAATTTTTATAAGCTAATTATTCGCAACATTTCTCACAGAGATTTTTGTTGCTGGTACTTCCAGCAAAGTAAAAAAAATCTCTGAGATAAGAAGTCGTCATGGCTCGGCAGTAGTCTAAACATGCAATTCAGCATGAGACCCGGGCCTTGACGACGTTCTCGCAGTGCAACCTGAGACCAACAATGGCTGCAAAAAAATATCTTTGTATGATTATGTAACTGGATAAACCAGCAGTCAATTGAGGAATTTTATAGAACACGAAGCTCTGCTCCATGTTCCTTCGACTAATTTATCAGTTTTCTTTTATTATAATAAAATGCAATAGGTAAGTAGTTAACCACATTGCAATTTATTTCTGAAACCTAGCCTAAATCCAAGTCATTTTACACTAATTTACAATAACCATTACGAGTCTAGCTGAGCGGCCCGCCTGAGATCGATTGATCCTCTCATGAGGCCAATCTGGGATTTTAGATGAATAAAAAAACACGTTGTCTGGAAGACCCAAAATTCCAGAACGTTACAGTAGTGCTGTGACCAGGATACAGCAGGCTCAAAAATTGACAGCTTAAAGTGAATTAGTTAGGATAAAATTTGCTAAATGACAGTTGCATACTTTATTCAAGTTTAGTGTAATTTAAGATTGTAATTGACTTTGGCCGACCTTTGTCGAGCTATTTAAAATCTTCTAGACGATAAACATATAAAGTTTAGTTATCACTGATATCATTAGTGAACCATACATATGATTATCGAGGTGTTGTGCAGATGAAGTGTCAAATTTTAAGTTTTAAACTTTATTTGTTAATTAAAACCAACTTTGATATTTCTGCAGTAATTAGTGATCTAAAATGCGTGACTTGTCAAATGACAATAGACATGGAATTAATTTTCTAAAATTATTATTTAAAAAAAAAAATGTTACTACGGACCTTCCAAACTTTCTTGTGAATTTATACATTTCACATAAGGACTAAATCTTTTTTGCCGACGATCACAAATAAAGTGTTGTTACGGCTTTAATCGTGAATTTATGAAAATTTCCGACGTGATGTAATTTTATCACGAGCTTAATATAGGAAATTTCTCAGGTGAATTTTGTTTTATAGTAAACTGTTAAGAACTACTTATTTTAATTTTGAGTTTATTAAAATATTTCAAACCAAAACTGAACATCATTACTCTAGCCTACACTCATCTTGGTGCCTAAGATTTTAGACCTAATCAGCTCTTGTTCATGAGAAAGAAGAAAAATACATATGGGTCATTCCATGTCAAATCGACCAATAGTTGGAATCGACCCCTTTCGATTTGGATGAATTTTGGTCAGAAGTTTTCTTTTATCATGAAACAAAGTTCTGCCAAAGGAAAAATAATAAAAAAATTATTTTCAAAAGATATGCAAATTCAAAATTTCGCGATTTTACAAATATATTTAACAAATATAAATAATGCTGTGAAGCGGGAAAGAATAGGAGTTACGGATAATTTATTACGTGAAGCGTTCCAACATTCACGTAACAGGATAATTGGTAGGAAAGGATTGAGAAAGGATTGTGGAGAGGATCATCTTAATGTGAGTGTATAGAATATGCGAGAAAAATTATTAGATAGCTCGGACTGGGAAGAAAAACTGGAAAGTTTTTCAATTTTGTTTTTGCAATATCTCGAATGCTATTATAGATACAGGAATGGTATTTCGTTTGTTTAAAAGGGGACACTTAGGGGTATCGAAAAAAAAATATTTTGGAAAAAAATTTTGAAAAATGCCGAATTTGTCAAATTTCGAATTTTTAAAAATCGTCAAAAATGAAGACTGCTATTAAAATTTTGGCTCAATTTTTAACTTCCCGCTAAGAAAATTGAAAATTTTCAAAAATCGGGAAGTTATTGGTTTTACCCCGTTTTTCGAAAATCGAGTTTTCATCAGATCTCGACGTTTTGAGGTCCTAGGAAGCTTCCCTGACTATTCCCACGAGGGTGTCACTATGTATGTATGTATGTATGTATGTATGTATGTATGTATGTATGTATGTATGTATGTATGTATGTGTGTGTGTTTTTTTTAAGGGGGGGGGATCCTTTTTACGGATTTTAGGTGTTATGTCCGCTCGAAAAATTTTTCTTTTTATTTAAAATTTCCCGCTTTTAGATGAACGACCACCTATGTGCGAAACCATTCTTAAAATTAATATCGTTGCGACTGCCGACTGACCGATGGGGATTTCTGCAAAGTTATTGGTTTTACCCCGTTTTTCGAAAATCGAGTTTTCATCAGATCTCGACGTTTTGAGGTCCTAGGAAGCTTCCCTGACTATTCCCACGAGGGTGTCACTATGTATGTATGTATGTATGTATGTATGTATGTATGTATGTATGTATGTATGTATGTATGTATGTGTGTGTGTTTTTTTTAAGGGGGGGGATCCTTTTTACGGATTTTAGGTGTTATGTCCGCTCGAAAATTTTTCTTTTTATTTAAAATTCCCGCTTTAGATGAAAGACCCACCTATGTGCGAAAACCATCTTAAAATTAATATCGTTGCGACTGCCGACTGACCGATGGGGATTTCTGCAAGCTAAGCAGCGGGAACTTTTAAAAGAGGCGGCAACCACCGCCCAACGTCTTTTAACTATTTCAATTCAAGTATCTTTGTTAACTGGCCCGCGTTCGTAGAGGCTTTTGGTTTAATTTGCGCTGCACTTAGACCAAGCGGGTCCCCGTTAATACGGCGAACGTGATAAAATTAAAGTCAGGTCTTTTAATTAATTTGCACTGCACTTAGTTAAAGCGGGCCGCCGTCTGTAAGGGCTTTTGTTCTAATTTGCGCCGCACTTAGTTCAAGCGGGTCTCGGTCATCCGGCAGGCGTAAAATAGATAAGTGTTGCGTAAATACCACATGTTCGCGCCAGAACATGTGGTAAGTTCGCATTCAACCTCACCAGAGATGCGGCGACTGACGCGCACTCTGCAAGTCACTTCCCGAAGTCAACAGCTGCTTGCGCGCCAACCGCCATAACAAACCCACACGCTGTACTCAACAACACGTGCATTGTGTATATCAAAAATCATTTA